TCGTTTACTTTTTTAAGGTACCTTCGTAATTATTTCTCGATCACGATCCCTCAAAAAAGAATATCGTCTTCCGCGAGGAGGGAGTGTCGACCGCGCGCCCCTTCGCGGTCGATTCGAAACTTAAGCGGCGAGATCAGCTCGCTCTCTAATCCACTATATAATAAAGTCTACACGAAATACAATTAAATATATACGACGACCAACAACAACAACAACAACAACGCATTCCGTTTCGCGAAAAAACGTTTGCAAACGAGAGATTGTCCGCATAGGATTGGCGTCGTCACGTCCGAACGCAAACAAAAAAAAAAATTACTACGCACGGTGAGGTGGTTCGGGGAGGAGGAAGATGATACTTTCGCGTTTCCGCGCGTCTCTTCCGAGGAGACCTAATCGGATTCGGGGGAAAACGGGGCAAACGCGTCCGAAGTCTCTCCCGTACGTCGGCCGCGTTCTTTTGTATGTTTTTTTTTTTCCCTCGCCTCATCCCGTCGTTCTCCACTTTGGTTCAATGTATGTATGTAAATCGGTTCTATTTTTTTTTTTTTTTTGGCACTGTGCGAGGCTAATCGCCCCGTGTCGCGAGCGCTACCGCGGCTCGAACTGCGACCGTAAAAAACGTCGCGGTGAGATCAATGCGCCGATGTGATTTCGACCTAGATCTCTAAGACCCTCCAAAAAAACAACCCCTGAGCAACGGCGAACAACAAACGTCGCGCGACAAAATAAATTTTATTTATTTCTGGAACACACACGAATTCCGGAACCTCCGGGGGGATTTCTTTTCTTCTTGGCACCCTGAAAATGAATGACCGCTCGACGTTGCGCACAAATTTCTGGCGTCTTTCAAAAGTGTCCATCGCGTATATGTGTATTCCGTTGTTGTTTAGAAATAAAAAACAACACACAGTCACCCGACAATTTATTTATTTTCCGAAAGGTGTCGAAAGAGTGTCGGAAAATTCCGGAGAGGTTGAAAGCTAGTTTCTTGCCTCTTGCAATAAAAATTATTGTTCGAAAGTGCTTTTTTTTTCTTTTTTCAAAATTTGAAGAAATTTCCCTTCTAGGGGAGTTTAGAGCGCAGCGTTTGCGGCTTTTCTCCGGCGAATTCGAACGCGGACAGCGAATAAATGGAACGGCAGTGGGCGAACTTCTTTTCGGAGGGTTGGGTTTTGGACTAACGATCGAGACGTCAGGCGTCATGGAACTGTTTTCTTTAATCCTCTAGTCTGCGATCCTCGAGCCTGAACGTGTGAGGACCACGTGTGTGTGTGTATGTAATGTCCGATTTATTAGAAGAGGGCGGACAACTACGTGTAGTATGTATGTGTGTGTGTGTGTCTGTCTGTCTGTCTGCTGTGTATGTATGTGTGTGTAATATTTATATATATATATATGGCGAACGGCGAGAAGTGGGAAATTAAAACTGTGCAAACGCGCGAGCGAAACGCTTCCCGCGTCTCGCCGCGTGTTTCTCGTTGACATTCGTTGGACACGTTCCTCTTAATAAAATCTTGACGCGATGGTCGCACCACCGACCACGAGACGACAATATATTATATATATCGACATATTTTTTTTTTTTTTTTTTATACTTAATCGTTTTTAAATTACACTCCTTATCGAGAGACGGTATAAGTAATACGATAATTACATACTAAATTGGCCTATCGCAGTACCGGGCCGGTCTTGGAGGGAAATAGAATTTTCGCCTGACGGAATAAGTTCTCTCTTACTCTCTCTTTCTTTCTCTTCCTTACTGTCGCTCTCTTTCTCTTCTGTAACAGTTCTTCTTTTTTTTTTTTTTTGGCACATTAGCTCGCAACGCAGAGCCTCTCTTCTCGTCGCGTTGTGTCTTCACGTTCGTCGTCGTCGTCTCTCTTTCTCTCTCTCTCTCTCTCTCTCATGTGTAAAAGTACCGGCCGGCCGGCATCTGGCGATCAACCCTATTCGTTAGATAGCACCTTCGTTATTCAACTTCGTTTCGCGTACTTTCGTGAGTGCGCGTGAGTACACACAGAGCGGCAAGTACACTATATATATATATATATATTATATGTATGTATGTATGTATCACTTAAGGGCTAGGTAAGTGTTCGGACCAAATGGAAGGATTCGGCTTCACACATAAATGATCCTTCGAATTTCGCGCACAAGTTTCTCACGAGAGAAAACTTCGCCAGGCTCTATCTCCTCACCTCTCTCTCTCTCTCTCTTTCTCTCTCGCAACGAGATCGCACACGATCGGACTTGGTTTGTGAAGTGGTCGGAAGTTAAAGCTACTTACGCGAGACCGATCCTGAGAGAATGAGCCGGCCACTCTCGTTCCGCGCGCGTAACTGGACAGCAGCGTTATTGTTGTATAGACTCGTGTGTGTACGTTTCACAGCGCGCGTACGGGGGGGGAGGGTAACCCACCTACGTCCCACCTAACATGCCTCCCAACGATTGGCAGTTGTTGATTTTTTTTGCGTTTTGTGACGATTTCCGTCTGTGGCTATTTTTTTTTTATTCGACATTAGAGCGAGTTAATTTTCGGATTTCTTTGCGTTTATTTATCAAAATCCTGTAGTTGTTTTGGCACCTTTGAAAACGAAAAAAGAAAATTGACAGATCTCGGAGAAAGCGGCCAATCATTGCGGACGTTTCGCGACTCCTCACCCTCCCCCCCCCCGTACGCGCAAAAGTTCTCTACCTAAGAGAATGGATGGAGCGGTTAAAATTTGTTGTCGGAGAAGGACTCTTGGAAGGACCGAATATAATAACCGTGCAACAAGACGCTACTTGGCGGCACCTGACGACGAACGTAAAAAATCGCGCTTTGTTTCTCGACATTACGGGAGATAAAAGATATTACATTATTGCTATTTCGCGCGTCATCAAGGAAATAATTCGTTATTTCGTTCGGGAATTCAAAGGCACCGGCAACGCTTTTCTCCGGGAGAGAAGACTCGCGGCTCTCCCGACATATACGGTGCCAACGTCGAACACGTCATTTTCTCACGCGAGAGTGACACCATCGAGTAAAATTCAACACACGGTGTAACGAAGAGTAACGAGAGCGGACCCGCACATGCGGGTCTCAAAGAGCACGTTGTAAATTTGACAATTAATTTGTTCAGACTTCAAGTGGTTTTTTTTTTTTTTGGAAAAAAATATGAAATAAAGTGTGAAATACAAAAATCAAATTTATATTGTTTTTTTTCTTTTTCGCCACGTAAGTTTTCGGTTACACCTTGCGACGCGCGTCGATCTTAGAACGCTTGAGACAATCGCGGAATTTAATTCTTTTTTCTCATGACAGCTCGCGAAGAGAAAACGGTAGGATAGCGGTAAAATAGGCCGGAAACTCCAGTGTTTTTTTTTTTTTCAAATAATTCTTCGCGAAATGTCATTCTTCGCGCGTAGTCTCGCGGCGTCTGACAGCGTGTAATCGGAAACGCCCGCGAAGTGAATATCGCACGCGCGTGCGCTGCTCCAACTAGGGTGTATTTTTCTTTCGTGGCGAACGAGTTTCCGAAAAGTTTACGAAAAGCTCAAATTTTTCCACAACTTGTGAGAAACATTAATTTACAGAGAGTAATGTTAAAAAAAAATTCACGTGGTCTTTTAATTAAAAAAAAAAAAGAAGATCAAATCGTTGAAACTTTTCTCAAGAAGTTCTTCGCGCGCGTTTCGATTTTTGTGTCGATCGTCCACGCGGATCGATCGACGGACAGGTCGAACGTTGCAAACACTCTCGTCTCCAAACCAATTAAATGTCAAACGGTTTATAAATATTTTTTTTTTTTATATAATTTATTTCACTCAGACGAAATGGAACGTTTTGCATCGTTCGTTTTTTTTTTTTTTTGGCTTGTCGATCGACGAAACGCAAACGGAAATCGAAAGACGCGATTGCGAGACGCGACGACAGCAATCTGACGCCGGAGATTCTCAAATCGCGCGAGAGAAAGAAGAGACGTAACTCTCTCGTCTTCGACGTGTTCGCGTCTGCACGGAGCTTGAGACAAATTATTCGCGCGCGCGCGCGCGCGCGTCATACACATTCGCGAAATATATTTCTATACTCGAGTTAGAGATTTATACATCTCTCGTGGGATTTAACTATTACAAATATACATATCACTTTTGTCGATGGAGCACGAAGACGAAGAAGATAACAAAAGGAAGCCTTTGGACCGTCGGCTTTCGTCTTAGCCGCGTCGTTGCGTTCTTTGGTTTCGTTTTATTTTTTTCTCTTTTTTTTGTTTTTCGTTTCATTCTTTTTTTTTTTTTCTTTTTTTTTCTTTTCGTTTTGTTCGCATCCCTTATCACAAGTTTTAAGTCTCACTATCTCTTGTTGTAGCTTCGGAAATCATCGCCGGGACGTAAACGCGCTTCTTCCCCCTCGATGGATCGTATTACACATATATATATATAAGTGAGATCACACACACGCGTAATCACGTTTTTTTTCGCTACATTCCCTCCCCTTCCTCCCCGTAATTGACGCGTCTCTTGTCTCTCGGGCCGGCGGCGAGATGGATGGATAGTCCGTTTCTCTCTTTTTCTCTCTGTCTCTCTCTCTGCCCTCCCTACAGCTCCTATAAACTAGAAGTCCTTCGGCAATTTCATCCGATGCTCGTGTTCCTCGCGAGAAGAGTTGGTTTTTTGCTCGGCAACGAACAGCCGGGGAATAACAACGTCGATTATTAATAATCATCGCATCGAGGAATGATCTTGAAGACTCTGAAGATTTCGCGAGAGCCAACTTTTTTTGTTTTTCTCTTTCCAATTAAAAGCTAAAATTGCATTAGACGCTCGTTAACATTTTTTTTCGTTCGATTTCTCGCTCTCGTCGCTTCATCGTGTTGTTTGGCGCGCGTATTTACAAGATCATTTCTCGAACCGCTTCGCGACGATTACGGCGCGTCGGCGCGACGCGCCGCGGAAAACGTGGACGTTGCTGCTCTTCGACCTCGACGAGGCCTAGGCTGTTCATAAACCGAGCAATCGCGTTAGCGCTGATGAATGTGCGTGGTGAGATGCTTGGAGAGGTAGTCAGCCCGGGCGAAGCATTTGCCGCACATTTCGCAGTGATAGGGTCTCTCGCCCGTGTGGATGCGCAGGTGCCTCGTCAGGTCGCTCTTGCCGCCGAAGGCGCGGCCGCAGAACAGGCAAACGAACGGCCGTTCGCCGGTGTGCTTGCGCACGTGTAGCTTCAGATTTTCTTTGGATCGCACGCACTTACCGCAAAACGGACAGGCGAAACGTCGCTCGCGACGATCGGCCTCGCGAGTCGCGCTACGCGCCAGACTGATCATCGCCTCGCTAGGTTCGTGCCGATCGTCGTCGACGACGTTGTCGTCCACGTCGCCGATCTCGCTACTGGTAGCACCGCCACCGCCACCGCCGACGCCAGCAGTTCCGGTGGCGGTCTCCGTTATCTGCACCTCCACCGCCTCGCCGGGATTCTCCTGAACGCTCGCGGTCTCCGAGACGCTCTCGTCGCCGCGAACGCTCTCGGAGAACACGCCGCGTATCTCCTCGGCGTCGCCCGGATTCGTCGTTGTGTCACTTCCGGTCTCAACCTGGGACGGCTCGCCTGTGCTCGAGACCTGATCGCTTCGCTCGGCCTGAGCCGAGACTACGACGACGCTGCTCTGCGGCTCGGGCGCGCGCTGCAGCCGCTCGAGCGCGTGATTCAGACGGTGCTTCTTAAATGACTTTAGGTACCTGAACTGCATGCCGCAAACGTCGCAGGTGAAGAGCTTGTCGGCGGGAAGACGCGCGCGATGATTCTGCTCGCGGTGCTTAACGTAGGCGGAACGGTAGCGGTAACGCTGGCCGCACTGCTCGCACGTGAACGGCTTCTCGTCGCTGGTCTGGCCGGCGTGCTGCAGCAACGCGTGACGCTCGAGCAGCCACGGTGACGGGAACGTCGCCAGGCAGACGCCGCAGCGACGCGCCAGCCCGGCCAGACCGGTGAAACCGCCGTGGCCGAGGATGCCGCCGCTGCCGCCGCTCGTACGCTCCACCAAGGCGCCCCATCCGCCCGCTTCCAGGCCGAGAGCAAGCGAGACCTGAAACAGCGGATAAACACTCGTACACCACTTGTGTGTGAAGATCGTGAGACAAGATCGACGTATCTCGGTAACACACATCCGCTGGCCGGACGTTTATCAGAGAAACAATTTGCAACAAAGTTAGAAACTAATTATTTATTTATCAAATAGTAGCTTACAACAAAACATTGAGAATTGTTGTTGATTAACACATCCAATCATTGTTGTCGCTTTAATAAATGTCCGGTCATTGGGTCAAACTTGGGTCGGGACTGGGTCTCGGATGCGCGACTGTTATCCGCGAAGAGTTTGCAGCAAAATTTTATTTAAATAAATTGAATTTTAATTAACGGAATTATTTTTCAATCCTAATCCCGAACGTCTGTGTGCGAGCCTCTTTTTATCCAACAACAAAGCCTCGAAATTCTCTTACGAAATCATTGAACACACAAATTATGCAACGCTGTTTCTTCATTAAATAAACAACAGGATCGGTGGACGCTCGAAAGATGCAGAAGTTTTGTCGAGTTGTTTAAATATTTCAAACAAAATGCTCCGAATCACAGACCGGGGGTATCAAAAAAAAAAAACTTCACAGGATCAGGATCAAATGTGTCTCGCGGTCTCGGAATTCCAATTGATTAATTCTCGCGATTTCTCTCTACGGATTTCAAAGTTATTATTTCGGAATGTAACAAAAATCGCGCGCACACACGGGTAAAAGAAAATGTTGCGTTCGAAACTTTTCATTTGTGTCCGTAGAGCGAATCGACGGGGTTGCGGCGCGTGTCGCGACGCGCGGGTGGTGTCTCGACGGGGGGGGGATCGTTTCACGCTCGAATAGAAGATTATCAACTATGCACTTACCCCTTTGTTGCCGCGCGGACGCGGCTTATGATAGCGATAAACAATCCCTGCGCGGCACAATGTCGCTCTGGGCTTCACGCGAGATTGGATACAACGGTCGTCGGGGAGGATATCGCGGGGGGGTGTACGCACACACGCACGCACACACACACACATGGTATACGCACGTGACGTGTATTGTTAACACAAACAGTTTGCAGCTTTATTTCACAAATTGTTAATTTACAACTATGATATGCATTCGTTCGTCTAAGAGAACCGAAAAACAAATCAGTATTTTTTGTTTTTGTTTTTTTTTTTTTCACCATTTTTTTTTTCTTTATTAAACGCCAAGCCAAATCAGTTTGTGGCTGTTCGCAATGATTCGGAACGTTCGGAACGCGTAATTGTCTCGATGTCTCGTGGTGGTTGGAGTGTGTTGTATATTAAAAACGGACGAGAGTTGGGGGCTTTTTTTTTGTGTTCGGAGAGTGGATTTTCCTTTCGCGCGCGGAGCTTCTAATCGGGATTATCGTTTTTTTCTTGTTCTCTTTCTTATTCTCTTTGCCGGATCTTTCTCACGTCCCGATGCCAAGAAATTTTACATGCGTGTAACACAAGCGTTTCGTTTGCAAAACCTAACGCCGTTTTTCCGGACGCTCACTCGAAAATCTCAGAAAACGCACGCACGCACGCACGCACGCACGCACACACACACACAATCATCCGCGATCTCTCAGAGCTCGGCATTTATTTAATTTCCGGGCGCGCGCACACACACAATTCGAACTTTCTTCTTCACACCAACGCTGACCGCAACGCACACTTAAAAAAGCACAGGATTGAAACGTATCGGATGGACGGAAGTGCTTTCGGATCAGTCGCTCGCTGTTAACTGTCTCTCGCGTCCATCTTACACGTCTCGCTCGCTATCACAATGAGCTCTCGGATATAAGGGAAGGGAGGAAGCGTCGCGATCTTCGACACCCCTTTCCCTTTCTTCTCCCCCTGTCGTTCGCAACGAGAGTAACGAGAGCGCGCCGGAATCAGCTGAGCTCTCATCGTGCGACAAAAAATCGATTAAACGCATTGTATTATTCCCCCCCCCCCGAGAGAATTTGAGATAACAATTTTGAAACAACCAACATTTTTTTCATCGAGATAAAAATCTTGTGAGCGCGTAAATACAATTTTCCACGAATTAATCTCTGTATAGATTAAAAACGCTCGCGTGTGGTGCTTTCCTCCCGGATTTTACGCCGCCCGGCAATTCCGAACGACACACAGATCGGATTCCGTCGCTGCTCGTTTCTCTCGCGATCACACATGTGAGATCACAAATGCGGCCCGGAGAAATTAAAAGGAGCATCGCGGGAAATTAAAAGAACGAGACGCATCGGTCAGTTGGTCGTTTATTAGCTTTTGGATCTTTTTTTTTTTTTTTTTAAAAAAAAAACTCCACCGCGCGGAGAAGATCGCGCTTCGATAGCACACACATACGTGTCCTATCGCGGTCCGCGATATCTAAGATCAGCAAGGTCGCACTCAGGAGTTCCACGAGTATCACGCGATATCGCACACGCGTCCGAAGAGAAGCGAGAAAAAAAGTGCAGCGGGATAGAAAGAACAAAAAAAAAAAGAAATGTCGTATTGCAACAGAGAAAAGTCATTCGAGTAGTCGCGAAACGTTCCGGGCTGACGGAAGGGGTTGTGAACTACTTTAACGTTAAACAATAGAAAAATCGTTCAACACACGCGCGCGCGCACGTGAAAATTCAAACGTGGAGGACCTTCAAATCGAGAAAATATGTAACGCAGAGATTTCCTTTGAAGCCAAATTAAATTAAATTCTGCCTCCAAAGGAGAAGAGAGTACACGAACCTCAAACGCGAGTGGTGGTGTGTAAAAAAAAAAGTTCGATCGATAAGTTTACGTCTCGATCCAAGACTGGATCATCTTCGGAATACAACAATGTTTCTTCTTGCACAATGTCAAGACTGATTTAACTGCGTCGGACACAAAGGAAAGTAAATTGAATAAACAAACAGATAAACAAACAAATTGAAACACAAACTGAACTTAGAAACCGACCGTCGAAACGTGACACGTCGGATTTCAAATTCACTTTTTTTTACACACCACTCGTGTCTGAGGCTCATATCGACTCTATTCTCGCTCTTTGGAGCAATTTTAAGTTTTTTGTTGGTTCACAAATTTTTTTCAAATGGCCAGAACGTTTTTTTTTTTGTAGCCCTCACTTGGGACGTGTTTCGTATTTTAATCGTTTTTTTTTTTTTTAATTGAAAAATCAAGTAACTCGGTTCAAAGATTTGCTCAATTGAGGATCCTTTATATTTTTTAAATTTTACGTGCGCCATTGAAATTATTTAACGCGTTTGACGCGACGCGACATTTCACATTATTCTCACGAATTAACGTCTGGTTAATTGAGATTTCAAGAAACACACAACAATCGTATTTGCAATTTACGTGAGAAGAGAATCAAGTTGCTCGCGTTGAGATAAAGCGCGAATTATTTGCTGCGAAATTAACGGCGTGCATTAAAAAACTTCCGTTTAATTTCCTCGATCGTTTCCTGTTGGTTCGTTTTTTTTTCTTTTTGCGCTTCTTTCTGATAAAAAAACTTCGCGAGTCTCAACTTCGCGTTATATCACGTGAACTCGACGATCTTCCGAGTGCGGTCGAGAAAAATCTCGAGAACAAGCGTTCGATTGTTTGATCTCGAATCTCTCTCTCCCTCGTGTGACGGAAAAGTCAAAGATTTTCTCCCAAAAAAAAAAAATAAATAAATAAATAAACAATTTCTTGATGAAAGTGGTATCGACGACACGTCGTTACGCGAAATTTTTACAACGCACAAGTTCTCAAACTCTCTGTTTTGTTCCGAGCTAAAAAAAAAAAAGAAATGCGCGAGTGATATTGCTCTTAATTTTCTGCGACAACTCGGCGAGCGCGCGTCGCGAATATCGAGCGCGCTTTGCCGATTGCGTCAGGATCGTAACGGCACCATTGGCGTTTGCGTTTCGTTTTACACAGGCTTGCAGCGCGCTTCCCGCTTGCGCTTCTCGCGCGGTCCGACAATCGAATTATCAACAACAACGCCGCGAGTTACAAAGTTACCGAGAGTTCTCTCGTCGCGAAACAGAAACATTTTCCTGATCACATTCTTTCCTTTTCGCTTTTTTTTTTTTTTTTTTTTTACCGACACACCGTGCGTACACACTAGGTAATTTTCTTCCGTGTCCTTCAATTTTTTCTCTCATCTCTTCTTTTCTCACGCGCACACGCATACACACCCACACGCACATCATACATTATATCTAAATGGTTGTTTCGCGAATAGAAAAAAAAGTGACACACACAATATATTAAAATC